ATTCATGCCCGTTTGTTGTTCCCTGCAGAACTTCCACCCCCTCCGCCTCCCCCTCCTGGGGAAGAGATGGTTGTCTCCTCAAACAGCGCATTCCCTCCCCCGCCTCCCCCATTCGAGGAGCCGTTTCCCCCAGCACCAGAAGACGTCTTCCCTTCGCCTCCTCCGCCAATGCTGGAGGAGGAACCCGTGGCTTTGAGTGGGCTACCTGCCCCCCAGGTGAGTATTCATATAGGTTAATGCTGTCAAGGTGGGCAAATGGCAGTGGTTGGGGGGAGTGGAAGGTTTATTGGGAAAGACCTGTTTTGCCATAGTTGTCCTGCATGGGCGTAGCTGGGGGGACGGACGACAGATGCCCTCCCCCCAATCAAGTAAAACAATAGAAATACAGTCGTACCTTGGATCCTGAACACCTTGTGAGTCAAATGTTGTGGCTCCCGAATGCCGCAAACCCAGAAGTGAGTGTTCCAGTTTGCAAACCTTCTTTGGAACCCAAACGTCTTCTGTGGCTTCTGATTGGCTGCAGGAACTTCCTGCCTTGGTTTCCAAACGTTTTGGAAGTCAAACGGACTTCCGGAATGGATTCTGTTCGACTTCCGAGGTACCACTGTACTTAACTAATTGACCAATCACGTTGGTTCTGCCCCCCTTAACAAAAGTCCAGCCCCCTCAACTAAGTCCAGCCCCCTCCTCCAAGAAAAATCCTGCCTACGCCCATGTTCTCCTGTTCCCATGATGTTTCGATGTGTGGCCCATAGCGGTGCTGAGGTGTGGTCTAGACTGCATGATAAGCAAGCAATCAGGTGGTCCCAAGAATGGGATGGTGGTGAGAAAACTGCCGCCTCCCTCTGGTCTTCTCCAGGATTGCAGGCGTCCTTCACATTCTTCGTTAGATTAAAACTTCGCACCAAGAGATGGGGAAATAACAGTGGTACCTTGGCTCTTGAATGGCTTAATTGTTGAACAAATCAGCTCCCAAACGCCGTAAACCTGGAAGTAAGTGTTCCGGTTTGCGAACATTTTTCGGAAGCTAAACGTCTGACGCAGCTTTCGTGGCTTCCGATTGAGTGCAGGAAGCTCCTGCAGCCAATCGGAAGCCGCACCTTGGTTTTCGGGAGTCAAACGGACTCCCGGAACGGATTAAGTTTGAGAACCAAGGTACCACTGTAAGTAAGCCATACAAATGAAATGATGTTGCACACCAATCCAGAAAAATGGGTATATGGTTGAAGAGGGGTTAAGGGATATTTTCAAAAAAATGTTTTATAAGTTGTCCTTGTTTCTCAATTGGATCCATTTGCATGGTTTTGCATGTTTTGTGGTATTTTATGCATTGTGACTTGCCGCTATTTTTATTGATTATAGTTTCCTTATTCTTTATTGTAATTGGTAAATGTAAACTGCTTAATTCTTATCTGCTGATATTTAATTTTACTGTTTACTATTATATTCCAATGGATTGTTGAATATTGCTTTATTTAAGTTGTTTATTTTGAAGTTGTGACTTCTTTGTATTGGATCAGATTGTGTGTGAGAGAGATCTTTGCTGACGATTTAGTTGTTTCTTCAGCTGGTTAACCACCTTGTTTATAGTAATATAGAAAGGCGGTGTACAAATTAAAAGTGAAATGAACTGAAATGGGAACATAGGGAGCTAGCTGCCTTATACAAAACTGGTCTAGTACAAATCAGAGGTTGGATGGCCATCAGGCATGGATGTTTCAGTTGAGATTCCTGCATTGCAGGGGGTGGACTGGATGACCCTCGTGGGTCCCAAATCCACAATTCTGTGATTCTTTGACTGGCTTATCTGACTCAGCATTGTTGGCAACGTCTCCCAGGGCTTTAGACAGGGATGATCTCCCTGGAATTTCCTGGAGATGCTAGGAATTTAACTGGGACTCTTTACCTCCCCAGCACACTGAGCTATGGCTCTTACTTGGAACATAATTCTGCAATATATGCTGCAATATATATATGATATATTTTATACTTCACTGTGTTGCACATTTCTGATTCAGTGGCTTGGGGAGGAGCAAAGGTTTATGTTTTGCATGCGCTGAGCAGTGGCGATACATCTTAAGCCAATCATCTGGCTTCTGAGATTTCACCAGGCGTTGCTCATACACTTCTGAGCAGTGTTCGAAATTAGCCCAGGGGCCAGGCGCATTTTGCACCTGACTATTGGCTACTTGCGACCAAGTGAAGATGCCTGGGTGCCAGGATAAGCGCCTGACATCTCCACCATCTGGCTGGCTAGTGCACAGCAATGTTTTTTTGCTGCTATGCTATGGCGTGAGTCAACTTTAGCCGCAGCTGACAATATACACCATTCATTTTCAGCCTTGCAATCTTGCAAAAATAAGGGGGGAAAGGCGAATAGCTTTTCTATCTCAAAGTGCATCCTGGCGGCTAGAAGTTCCCTTTTTGAAAACGCAAACCACAGCAGCCGAGATTCTCCCACAATTCAAAGTTCCAGCCCTTTGCTCTGCGCCCTTCCGACACGTTGCTCTCCTGCTAAGTGCACTAACCAACGGATGTGAAAGGCTGTTGTTGACTGACAGCCTTCAGGACGGGCTTGGTAACCCTCTCTAACATGTAACTTCCTTTCTTCTCCGTGGCGGAAGGGGCAGGCCCGTGGAAAGATGAGCAGCATTGATTTGGAGATTGATACTCTGTCCTCAATGCTGGATGACATGGAGAAGAATGACCCCTTCAAACCGCGGGTGAGCTGCAATAACAGGGTAGCCAGTCCAAGGCCTCGTTCTCAGAGGGGGCCAGCCTGTGCCTGGTCACTTCAGGCTACAGCTGACGGCGCCAAGGACTGAAGAGCCCCTTCCCCATGCAAAAAGTTCTTGAAGGTATATCCACTGCTATTTTTCTAAAAAAAAAAAAAAGAGGTGCCGGAACTCACCATGAACACCTCCCTTGTTCTCTTAAAATGGCAATTCACAAGAAGTGAATTCTGGATGAAAAAAAGCCCTGGGTATATCTATATTTTAAAATATTAGCATGTTAAGAAGACTTGAGTGATATTCAGCTAAGTTTCACTTGGAGGAATAAACCCACTGAAATTAACAGACCTAACTTTGTCATGTTCATTCATTTCATGGGTCATCTTTGAGTAAAACTTAGCTCAATGCCACTGTAGGACCCTTTTGCCTGACATGCTAGCTTTCTGCGTGAAGAGAACTTTTTTTATCTTTTAAAAAAACAGAGCACTTGGCCAGGCAAGCCCCCACTGGCAGCCACAAGTGGTGCAGCCCAGTGATAGGTTGACCCCCTCAGTGAGTCCTGGGACCAACTATGGTTTCTCCAGGAGAGACAGAGGATGGAGCCAGGCTCACTATGCTTGGATTGGGGATCCAAAGCCTGCTTTTGTTAAGGACAAAGCTAGTCTCTGGACAAGTTACTCTCCGGTGAGCTTTCTCACCCTGGAGTAGCCAAGCCTCTGTATCTGCTTGCCAAGGGATAAGGAGGATATTACCACGCTATGGGGTGCAGGTGTGTGGACAAATGTCTGGCTGCAACAACCCCCTCTTTCCTGTACTCCCCCCAAATCTCCTCTCTGTTCCTCTTCTCCACACTGAGAGCAGATTGGACCAAGATGGGTCTGGTTTGGATGCTACGATGTTGGCCTCTTCTCCCCTTTGATAACCATATTTATTTCTGCAGGTATCTCCAGGTTCCATGGCTCACGTAGGCCTGGCTTCTGGACCTAAAGCTTCCCCAGAAACCATTGCTCCACCCAAGGATGTTTCAGCTCCTGTTTCCTTCCCTTCCAACGCTGCCTCCAGCCCCAGCGCAGGCTACGCGCCCAAAGCACAGAGAGAAACGGCTTCTGTTCCTCCACCGTGGGTGAAGCAGAGTAGAGACTCGCCATCGACACCGCTTCCAGGACCTCCGGCTCCTCCTCCTCCTCCTCCAGCTCCGTCAGCCCCCAAATACACTCCACCCCCCGTTGCCGTGGCCCCCAGATTTGTACCCAAAGCAGCTGCAGGGATCCCGTCCGGCTTCCCGCGCCAGGCGGCTGCTGCCCCTCCGCAGCCTCGCTTCCCACCCGCTTCTGGCGCAGGGCCAGCCCCGAGGCCACAGCCGCCTGCTTTCACCTATGCACAACAGCGAGAAAAGCCCCAGGTTCAGGAGAAGCCACGTCCCGTTGGACAACCGCCTGCCCCGCGAGACGTGGTGAGTGGGGAATAAATCTCAACTTGGGGTGGAGAAACAAGGGAAGTGTGCAAAGCAGGATGGACTTTTCATTCAGGATTTATATATAGGCAGATAAATTAGACTAGACTAGACTAGAATTATAGAGTTGGAAAGGGACCACGAGAGTCATCTAGATCAGGGGTCAGCAAACTTTTTCAGCAGGGGGCCGGCCCACTGTCCCTCAGACCTTGTCAGGGGCTGGACTATATTTTGAAAAAAAATAATAAAAATGAACGAATTCCTATGCCCCACAAATAACCCAGAGATGCGTTTTAAATAAAAGCACACATTCTAAAAAGGTAAAGGGACCCCTGACCATTAGGTCCAATCATGGCCGACTCTGGGGTTGCGGTGCTCATCTCGCTGTGTAGGCTGAGGGAGACAGCGTACAGCTTCTGGGTCATGTGGCCAGCATGACTAAGCCACTTCTGGCGAACCAGAGCAGCGCACGGAAACGCCGTTTACTTTCGCGCCGGAACGGTTCCTATTTATCTACTTGCACGTTGACGTGCTTTTGAACTGCTAGGTTGGCAGGAGCAGGGACCGAGCAATGGGAGCTCACCCCGTCGCGGGGATTCGAACCACTGATCTTCTGATTGGCAAGCCTTAGGCTCTGTGGTTTAACCCACAGCATAAAAATTCCAGGCAGGCCCCACAAATAACCCAGAGATGCATTTTAAATAGAAAGACACATTCTACTCATGTAAAAACACGCTGATTCCCGGACAGTCCGTGGGCCGGATTTAGAAGGTGATTGGGCCCGGGGCTTAGTTTGCCTACCCATGATCTAGATCTTTTGCCGAATGTGGGGCTCGAACCCACAACCCTGAGATTGAGAGTCTCATGTTCTACCGACTGAGCTATAAAAAGGTAAAGGTAAAGGGACTCCTAACCATTAGGTCCAGTCGTGACCGACTCTGGAGTTGCGGCGCTCATCTCGCTTTACTGGCCAAGGGAGCCGGCATACAACTTCCGGGTCATGTGGCCAGCATGACTAAGCCACTTCTGGCGAACCAGAGCAGCGCATGGAAATGCTGTTTACCTTCCCATCGGAGCGGTACCTATTTATATACTTGCACTTTGACGTGCTTTCGAACTGCTAGGTTGGCAGGAGCAGGGACTGAGCAACAGGAGTTCACCCCGTCGTGGGGATTCGAACCGCCGACCTTCTGATCGGCAAGTCCTAGGCTCTGTGGTTTAACCCACAGCGCCACCCGGGTCCCATGACTGAGCTATACCAGTCAGCAATAAATCAAATCTGGCTGGATGCCACATCTGTTGCTGTAGTTCCTAGCGGCCATTTTAAAAGAGAGGCCTCAGTAAGATTTGTGGGTCTGTGGGCTCCCAGAAGGATGAAGCTACATTCTTTCTCTTCCTCTGTGCTTGTATTGGTAAGAAAGATTTCCCCTCTGCCAGTTTAACAACTAAGCCCGTTCTATTGAGGGCAGTTGCAAAAGAGCACCCGGCACATGTGCTTTTTTCTCCCACTGGTTTTATAGAGAAGGAATTTAAAAACAAACAAACCCAGAGGTAAAACTGTGTCTGCTGAATCTTTTCATCCAACAAAACCATTGCAAAGCAAACAGAGGACAGACGTTCCTCAAAAGGAAGTTTCTTCATCAATACAGTTATTACAGGAAAATGAAACTTTTCAAAATCTTGTCACCTGAGTGAGCTGCAAGGTGGCGTCTCAGCAGGAAGAAGGAAGGGTACAGGCTGGATAACGGGGGAAAAACCATGTGTGGACAGGCAGAGGAATATCTGCGTTGCAGAACAATGTTAAAAGGTGGCTTGGCCATACTGTGATCTTGAGCGTATATCTGTTCCCTGGAATATGTGGTGTCTGAGAGGCTAGCAGGAGGGACGTTCTGGTCTCAGTGACTCTTGATTTCTTTGTCCAGCGTAACCCGGCGCCCTTTGTGAACACTGGCTCAGACCCTCCCAGGGGCAACTCTGTCCTGACCATGAAAGAGGTTGAGGAGCTGGAGATGTTGACCCAGAAGCTCATGAAGGACATGGACCAGCCTCCACATGCAGAGGCCACCAATTCTGGTGCGTGTGTACATTAGATATTTTGCATGTGTCGGTGATGGAGAGTGAATGGGATTTCGGTCCACTGTTGCCACCACACCCCTTTCTCTCGGTGCCTTCATCAGCAACCAGACACACAGAGGGTTGGGGGTGGGTGGTTGGGTTGACGTGTTTCCCTCCGCTCAGCTCCCTGCCGCTGAATGCTACAATCTTCTTCTTATGGAGGTGGTAGCTGTGTTCAGAGAGCCAGTGTGGTGTAGTGGTTAAGAGCAGTGGACTCGTAATCTGGTGAACCGGGTTCGATTCCCCGCTCCTCCACGTGCAGCTGCTGGGTGACCTTGGGCCAGTCACACTACTTTGAAGTCTCTCAGCCCCACTCACCTCACAGAGTGTTTGTTGTGGGGGAGGAAGGGAAAGGAGAATGTTGGCCGCTTTGAGACTCCTTAAGGGGAGTGAAAGGCGGGATATCAAATCCAAACTCTTCTTCTTCTTCCCCTTTCTTGCCTGGAGGTATAGATACGTATGGCGTGGATGACCTGCCGGCAGCCTCTCACGCTCCTCTTTTCTCTCCCCCTTCTCCCTGCCGCTGCAGAGTTGTGTGGCCTGTGCCACAAAGCCCTGTCGCGGACACAGCCGGCTGTCCGCGCCCTAGACAAGCTCTTCCATGTGGAGTGCTTCACCTGCTTCAAGTGTGAGAAGCAGCTGCAGGGACAGCAGTTCTACAACGTGGATGAAAAGCCCTTCTGCGAGGAGTGCTATGCGGTGAGTGAAATGCAGGAGGGCAGGGGCGCCTTCTTGAATAAAATATGGGGGGCGGGGCACAGGTAAGCTCCGCCCCACCTAATCAATCACATGTCACAGTGAACACACACCATTTCAATGGTACTGCCTATCAATGTTTGTGGGGGGGAGCAAATACTTTGTTGTGGGGGGTCTGAAGAGACCTCAGCCCCTAGGAGTTGGCTCCTATGCAGGGTGGCCAATCACAGTCATCAGGGCATTTTGGAAGGAGCCATGCTGTGGCATTACCTCAGCAACAGAGGGTTTGTTTTCCCCAAGCGAATTTTGGAATGTCTTAAAATGGCCGCCACATCTTGCTTCGGCAACCAGCTAGAGTTCTTCATCTTTTTTCTCTTTTAATTCGTCTGGTCAGAATTTCATTATTTGGGCTAGTTTCCCGAACGAAAAAGTTGCCCTATTTGCTATACTGACATTGTTCAAAAGAAACCATTCAGAAGTTCATTATGAAAGGAAGCAACTTTCATTAAAAACAGCCATTCTTCGTGTGTTCAAGTACCTCAGATATTATTCCATTTCTTGGGTCGTGTGGTCAAGGTGGGGTCAATTCGTCTTCAGACGCTGGCATTTTTGAACACTGCAACCCCTTGACTCCAGTCTCCTAGTGTGGGAATAAATCATCATTATTATTTGTTCACCACTTTATATACCACCCTTTATCCAAAGATCCCAGGGCGATGAAGTTGCCAAGCTCATGGTGGAGTCTTTGTCTGCATTACCAGGTCAACCCAGTGTGGACCTGTGCCACGCAACAATGGCTTCATGCCACAAAAGTTACACCTGAACTGGCTTCAACAGTCTCTTTCGGTGGCGTCGCAAACATACCACCGTGTGCTTGTACGCTGTGGGTGTGACCAGGCATTTGCCTGAACACGCAGAAGCTCAAAGTGTGGATGGGGGCTTTAGCATGCAAGCAAGTCCCCACCTCCAGTGTCCTCACACTTGTCATGCTCTCTGCCTCGGGCAGCAGCTTCTGAAGACACCCAGTTCATGGCTGGTGTAAGATTTGATTAAGGCTGCCTTCTTCACAGATTTCTTGTTTGCTAAGCTGCCCAATCTTGGTCTGCTCAACATTGTTAAAGGGCAATTGATGGGTGTCAAAAGAGATCTTGAGTATGCGATCCTGGGAAGGCATTATGCTTTGTATTGTTTTGGGAGGTGGGGAGGTTGGATGAGAATTGTTTAAATTTGCCTGTTTTCTCCCATTTACATCCTTAAGATATCAATGACTTCCCTTCTTCTCTTTCCATGGTTAACTATACCAATCAGTATTCCATTATTGTATCCATCAAAACTTATTTACACTGTTGAATTTATCGTAACGCTGCCAGCGTTTTCAGCTGTGCACAATTATTTCCCATATATTCAGTAAACGTTTTCCAAACCTCTTTAAACCTATGTCCTTCTTCTTCTCTTATTCTGTATGTTAAGCCTGCAAGTTGTGCATATTCTGTCAACTTAAGTTTAGTTGGGACCTCGCTCATTTTCCATTTTTGAGCTAACGAAACACAGGCCGCAGTAGTAAGCATACCTAAATAACCTTTTTTGACACCTTGGAATTTCAGTCTGAATTATCCCCAACAGAAAGGACTCAGGGTTTTGGGGGGAATGTACATTAAAACATCCCCCCCCCAATTCATTATGGATCATTTCCCCATACATGCATATCTGTTCTGTACGCTTGTCAGTGTCACACCTTAAAGTAGGGAACATTCATGAGGCAGCCTGTGCCCCACAGCTCAGGGACTGAGTGCACCCTATAATCTCCTCCTCTGACATGTCTCCACAAATGGTTCTGTTTCTGGAGGACAGGCCTCCTTCATTTCTGACCCTGTTTTTGTTCTTCAGGGCACCCTGGAGAAGTGTTGTGTGTGCAAGCAAACCATCACAGACAGGATGCTGCGAGCCACGGGCAATTCCTACCACCCCCAGTGCTTCACCTGTGTGGTGTGCCACAAAGCCCTCGAGGGAGCCTCCTTCATTGTGGACAAAGCTAACCAGCCACATTGCGTGGATGACTATCACAGGTGGGTGACCTCCTCCTTCATTTCCTGCGTCTTCTTCCTCCCACTTCACCTGGGACCTTCGTGACTTGACCGGAGCAAGTCTGGCCTAGAAGGTTGAAACCGAAAGTTCGAGTCCTCATACCGCCTCTTCTGTGCTTGCAGAAAATATGCCCCGCGCTGCTCGGTGTGTGCTGAGCCCATCATGCCAGAGCCCGGGAAGGATGAGACCGTCCGTGTGGTAGCCCTGGAGAAGAACTTCCACATGAAATGTTACCGCTGTGAGGTGAGCCAGTTCCCTTCTCCCCTTCCCGCCAGTCCCTCCTTGACATTTCTGCCGCCTCAGTGGCGTTGATTCTCCTTTTCTTCCTCCTCTTTTCAGGATTGTGGGAAGCCCCTTTCCATCGAAGCAGATGACAATGGCTGTTTCCCCCTGGACGGGCACGTGCTGTGTAGAAAATGTCACACCACACGTGCCAAAGCTGCGGTCTAAGGACCTTGGATCAGGATATGCCCTTGATGTGCTTCCCCGTCCCCACCCAGCCCAGTCAGTGGGCCTGATTTTCCTCTGTGCTGTTTCTGGTCATTCCTCTCCCCCCCCTCAAAACCCACAATGCATTTTTACTTAGAAAGAGTCTGTCTGGCAATATCTCTTTCCACCCAAGGGCTCTCCCCACTTCCCAGTTGTGTTTCCTTTTTCTTTTTAACCTGCCCCTTCCAAGACTGGGTGTTCCTTAACTCCTCGCCTAGTCTGGCCACAGTATATTATTCTAGACACTGCAGAAAGTGACGTGGAAATGCTATAAGCCCTGCAGTCCTTTTACTTACTAAATAATAAAGTAATCTTAGAGGAAATGTCTGGATCCTTCCAACCTGCTATGTCCCCTGACCCTGCAAAATGCTGTCCTCTGTTCAGGTATGGAACACGACCCAACTAATGGGACTATTTTTTTAAACCCTTACTTTTGGCGATGGACAGAGTCTTTGCTCTATGGGATGATGATATAAACGAATCTCCTTCTTCTGTACTGGAC